ATTTTTCATCTGTGCACATCTCCAAAGAAAGAATGTATTTAAAAACAGCAGAGAACTCCTGAGTTCTCAAACATGCTGTTGCAGATGGAGGTCATAGCACTCCTGTGCACTTTGTTATTAATACAGCTGTAGATGGAAAAGGTGGCAACACCTGTTATATTAAATCCTATTAATTGAATGCCTGGTTAAAACACCCAGTTTTTTAAAGACTGCTGCATAGCTACTAGCTACAGTGATTTAAAAGCCAGATATTCAGCAGGTTTCTCCAAAGATTTGAACTGATTTCCTTGTAATAACGATGTCACAATTTCTTTATCTTCTGCTATCACCTTTTGGTCCCCTTGTTAGGGTGTAATATTTTACACTTTTTCTATCTGTTTACAAAGAGTTAGAAAAGCAATTAGGTCTCCTTCTTAAGCACACCATGAAAGGAGATGCCATGATGTAAGAGACACTTTTTTTTATCTTTCTTTCAAAGCTACTGTTACTTGCATGAAGCTGTATTTCTGAATGACTTTACTTTCAAGAAGTTAGAATATGAGGTAACTGACAGCTCTCTCCATCTGCACACCCTCACATACTCATTTACATGCATGAAAGTGAGAGAGAAAAAAGAAAAAAAAAGCTATATTGTCATGGACTGTTAAGGCAGCTGCATATTATATTAAATTTTGGTGTTTGTGCTGGAAGAACACACAAAATGTTTCTGTCCAATTAGCAAGTAAGTTGATTAACGGATTACCATCTAAGTGGAGCACTGGAGAATCAATTGGTTGTGATCAAGCTACTGGCGACAGTGCAGTCATCATATTTGCTTGGCCATGCACACATACTGCATCTGAGAGGAGCAGAACTGGTTGCCTTGCCTTGAACCCTCCCTAAACACACTTTGAGACACCTTGGCCCGCACAGTGAAATGCATCTCAACCCCCATGCTAAGAACCATTTAAAGGAATATTGCAATGAAGCTACTGCCTCCTTACCAAGCATTCAGTGAAGTAAAATTTGCATTTAAAATAATGCTCATTCAGAAGTGCAGAAACTTCCCTCTCCCCATAGCAAAATATTTTGGATGGTATCAAGAATGATTTAAAGAGTCTTTTGTGGGAGGAAGAGAAATTTTGTGACTATTCTTAAAATTATAGTATCTTCCTTATATAAAAAACAAAGAGTGATGCCAATGAAAACAAAAGGCTGATAAGGGAAAATGTTTCCGGGAAATGTTTCTATTTCTGGTGCTTACTCCCTCTTGCACCCTCTTTGTTGCAGAAATGCATCACCTGGTCAGAAGAGTGATGTTAATACAGCTAGCAAGTCCTCCTTGTCTGACTGTTGAAGGCATTGATTTACCTCAACATGTCAGTCACAGCTCACAACAAAGCTGTGAGATTTGCAAACTACAGGCTTTTGTTAAGGCATAAAATGAAGACGAAGATTTTTTTAAAAAATGTAAAAAAGCTGAAGATGGAAATGACCCCTTGGGTGGGACAGAATCTATGTGTTTCCTAAGCACTCCTGGAGATTTCATACAAGTAGACTGAGGTGGTGAGGCTGCCAATCTCTTCCTCCAGCTGGTTGTCACTGAGATGTCTCCCAAACATGAGTAAGCTTCATGGTGGTACACAATGATACTGGACATGATGAGAAATCCATGAAGGTTTACTTGAGTCCGGTATCCCATGCACTCCTGCGTTTGCCATTAATGACCTTTCTACTCAAAACGGTTGATAGTTTTGTTTGATAAATTTAACCACTAAAAACATATCTTGATAAAGAATGTCCTTTTCTTCATTTTTTTCCCCCAGCATATTCTGTGAAATAGTATCAACATATTGAGCTGAACAGGGAGCTTTCTTTGAGAGGAAAAGGGTACAACATCCCAGGGAATTCTCAAAAAATAGGAACCATTTCACAATATGAACCAACAATCTGATTTATAGTGTCAGCAATATGAACCATGTCTGGGTGTAAGATGTCATTGTAGATGTCAGTCAAAGAAGAGAACAATTGATGGAAAAGAAAAAAGCGGGGGGAGGGAAAGCTGCAGATCTCAGCCTTTTGTAAGTGGACATTAAAGCACTGATTTCACATAAATGATAGTATTCTCCTGAAAAGGAGAAAATGGATATAAGGTTTTGACTGACTGGTTTCATACAACCTAGAATTCAGTCACCTGTGAAATGTCTTCTACACTGACTCATGGGAACTGGTGCCACAGACCTGCTGCATAAATACTCCACCTATGTTTCTCTCACAGCAACAAAGAGAGATGAGAGTGTTACTAACAATGTATCAGACCACTGAAGTCTCTGTAAGTGCTGTCAGGAGAGCATAGCCAATTTATAAATTCTCAACAATTAGTAACTTTTGATAACTTACATGTTTTGCAACATTTCTGGATGTGGCACTTAGTGCCATGGTCTAGTAACCATGGTGGTAATGGATCAAGGGTTGGACTTGATGATCTCAGAGGTCCTTTCCAACCTGGTTGATTCTATGATTCTATGATTCCATAATTTCAGGGTTCAAACTTGGCAAAGTTCCATTGACACACTGCTTATATTTATTTTATTTATTTTATATTATATATACACTTATCATGGCTGGGCTTCGCGAATGAAGATTTGGGAAGGGCTCTAACCACATTTGTTGCAAGCATGTTGGTGGCTAAAAAGGCCAATACGAGATAGACATGTCCGGCTGCAAAAGGCACAGCAGAAAGACTCCTTAGGTGGTATATTCTGCAAGACACGGTTCTTTCTGCGTTATCTTTTCTCCTCAAGAGTGATCCTGCGTGCGTTCTCAAAAGCATCAGCAGTGTATAGATGGTGTGTCACCAGACCTCCTGATTGGAGGCCAGAGTAGACCAGTTATGGTGATTGATACGGCCGAGGCTGAGATGTTGTTTTAGGGAGTCCTTGTATCTTCTCTTTGGGGCTCCTCTCTTGCGGCAGCCGGTGGCAAGTTCACCATAAAGCAAGATCTTAGGGAGGCGGTGGTCCTTCATCCTCGAGACGTGCCCTGCCCAACGCAGCTGTGTTCTCAGCAACATGGCCTCTATACTTGTGACTGCTGCCTGTTCTAGAACAGATGTATTGATCACATAATCTGACCAGCGGATGTTTAGAGTTGCGCGGAGGCAGCGTTGATGGAAGCGTTCTAGGAGTCGCAGGTGGTGGCGGTAGATGACCCGTGATTCAGAACCGTATAAGAGAATAGACAGCACTATGGCTCTGTAAACACTGATCTTTGTACTTTTCTTCAGGTGTTTATTTCACCAAACTCTTTTATGGAGTTTTCCAAAAGCACTGTATGCCTTTGCTAACCTGTTGTCTATCTCTCTGTCAATCTTACCATCCAAGGAGATGAGGCTATTTAGGTAATTAAACTGCTGGACTGATCTGAGCTCTGATTCACCAATGGTGATATGGGGAATCTGATATACACTTATATATATATAATATAAATATATATATTATATATAAATATATTATATTTATTATTTATGCTTATATTTACTTCCCAATATGTGTTTCTGGAATCCATCAAAGGCACTATCTGAGCCAGATATCTGGTCTTATTTCTCACACTTTAGAGGCTCATGGCCTGATTTACATTCACTTGAAAACTTCACAAAAAAAGCCAAACCAGATTCCAGAGGCAGGGATGTTTGTGCTTCAAAAGGTGGCAGCCTGCTTCTGAATCGTAAGTGAAAGTGTACTCCAAAGTTGAGCGAACCAGAGAGGTGGTGAATAGCACATCAATCTCAATACTGCAAAGTGCTAAACACTCAAGCATTGCTCCACTAAAGAACTTAGAACAAGGGACCAGTCCCTTCCTGAAAATGGACCCATGCAATCATACTTGTCTGGATTGAGTGAAAGGTTTTGGTACATTGGAAAGCTGGGCCCATGCCTCCTTCTGTGACACAGGATATATAGCTGGGTTGTTTTCATCGATTCTAGCAAAAGTCTGCGTAGATCAGTTTTCCTACAGTGGACTCAGCTTATCTGTTTATCTGTTTTCAGCAGCACACTGGTGGACAGAAAAGGAAAAAAGACAAGTAACACATCCAGGATGTTATGAACCGCTGACCTATACTTGGAAAAAAAATAAGTCAAGTTTATGCAGTAGCTTAGTTTTAGAATACTCTGATTAAAAATTAAAATTTAGAGAAATTGACCTACATTTGCCTTATGAATTTTGTCCCCATCAGATGCTTCAACATATGTACAGATAAATAAAGGTATTCAAAATCAACATTCACTTTGAACAAAATAACTGCCATAGGCATAAAATAATCTCAAATTTTGTGTCGGTATGTATAGCTGTGTGTACATAAATATATAGGTATATATATGCTGTTTTCATGTTCATGAAAGAACTTTCGTCAGACAAAATATGGATGATTCTGAGTGAATATTCAACACCAGTTCCACTACTGACATTATGAAAAGATAATCGCATTAAGAGAAAAAAATATGTAAGTATATTCCAACATTTTTACCATAGTTGTAAAAATTGTGATGTCCCAGGAAAAGGAAATCTCTTCACTGAAGAGATCACTTCTCATGCTCTGTCAGAGATAAAAGATAAATGTCTTTAATGATTTGTTGTTTTATAGACATGAATAAGAAGGAAGCTCTTTTCCAGTTTGTTTTATCACTCAAAACATGTTTAGGACATAATTTCTATGATCATGATTATCCAGATATAGTTTCAAAGTGTGTTCCTTTCCCATCCCTTCCCATCTATTACTACTAAAACTGCACTGTATTTAAATATTTGAACCTTTGCTTTTTACACCTATCTTCTGCACTAGAATCCATCAGTCTTAGGGTACTTATCTCATAAAACAGCAGATAGGAAAAACTAGTAAGTTACACCCAAGAAAGGGTGAGCCTCTTTCTCCATTCTTCTTATAGCAAGAGACTTATTTTTTGTATTTTTATAAAAAACATGTCTTTGTAGCAAATATTTCCCTCACCTCAGCTTGTCTTCCTTGTTCCATATTGGGCCAACCAGCATTCACTGTATTTCTGTGCAAAGCATCAGACCCTTTAAAGTAAAACAGATTTTGCAATTATTCTGATTATCTCAGTGCTGTTACATGGTTTTATAAAACATTTATTTTTTTCTTTAATATTAGAAATATTAAATAATACAAGAAAAAATACTGTTTATGCAGAGAAAACATCCATAAAAAAGGTTTTTCTTTGAACAATACTACTGCATTAAAGTGTCATTGCATAAATAGAACAGTTTCTTATAAACATTAATCTTGTAGTGCAATAAAAATGATCAAATGCCATAACCGAATGCACCTGTGAAATATTTCAAATACAGAGATTTGTAATGTGTTTGTTTTATTAAACTTAGAGCACAGAATAAAAAGCATTCACTTCTGCATTTTCCTGATTGTTTTTTTATTTCTTTACAAAGGGAGCATCAGTGCATGTGAAGAAAACAGTTCCACTCAGTAGGGCACATAGCTCAAAGCATTCTGTCCCATTTTCAGTGACCTGGAAAGCATGAAGGCTGTTGTGCTGCAAATAGGGAAAAAAAATAAAAAAGAAGAGAAAAAAAAAAGGATAAAAAGGGGGGAAAGGGAGAAAGAGAGAAAAAAAATACTTACTAGTCTAGCTGTATACAAATAGTGTCTTCATCATCAACATAAATTTAAAACCTATTAGTTTCCTTGGAGAAAGCGATTATCAAGGAAATGGAAGCCCATTGCTCTGTCTCACCACGGTTTCATTTGGGAAATGCTGAGAAACAACAATGATAATGAATTTGAAAAGCAACATCTCTGTTACTGTCATAACAAAATAGTAATAAATAAAAGAAAAAAAAGCCTGACACTTGAAAAAGCAATAGGACAAAGCCTCTCATAAGAGAGCTTTTATCACATAGGACACCACTGACTGAAGCACTATTTTACTTCCCTTTTTTTTTTTAAGGAGTACTACACAATATAATGAGACATTATTCTGGTTATACAAAATAAATTAGAATAAATTCCAGAATTATCATGCAGTGATGACAATTTCACACATCTACATTGAAATAAAGAAGACAATAGGGCTTCTTTCACTGGTATATACATAACCTTTTCCATAGTCACCCTGTCACTAAAAGATACATATTACTGCTTCCTCTTCTCTCCTGTAGAATGACTGTGTCACTCACCTGGCAAGCATTTAGCCTTCAGGGTAAGACACAGGCACAAAAGGGCATCAGTTTTGTGGGTATTCATGGGATGAACGGGAAGGGAATTTGGGCAGCAGTAATATTGGGTAAGGTAGAGGTAACAGCCCAGATGACGAGAAAGATCACTGACCAAACACTGTTATGGGCATGATAAAAGCTTTGCTGACAGTGGTAGTATTTCACATGAGTTTTCATGTCACAGAAGGTCACAGGTAAAATTTAATGAAGCTCTCACGTTGGCTATGGGACCAGTACATGAGTGGGACTACAGGACATGCAAAAGTGATTAGTCAAGCAAAAGAGGAAAAGCTATTTTTACAGTGAAAGGTCCCTCTGATTTAGGGCCATGATGATTATTTGTTACTGTTTGGTTTTAATGAGACACCTTGTCAGTGACAAGGAACAAAAATGCCCCCAGGTCTTGTTTTAGTTGCCTGCACCTAATTTTTAGCTACCTGTACTGAGAATCATGTAGGGTATGCTCAAGTGCTAGTGGGCACCTTGCTGATGCTTCAAGGTTGTTACAGAAAGTTGCGTGCAGAAAGTTGTATGTAGTAGTATCAGGGCCCTGAAATGAGTTTTGGGGACAGCCTTTCTTCACATGCTTACAAGCACTGAGGATACTTTTAGAGGAATCCCTCATGTGAGCTGTCCAGACTGTGTTGGCAGAAAGAACAACAAATGGAGGTGATTATAAAGATGAATGTCCTTTGGAGCATATTGCCCTGTCATGCCATTTGGGCAGCTCTCAACAGAGCCTGGAGTTGCCTCTTGGACAAGGCTGAATGAATAGTGAATCAGTTTATCCTCAAGGATCCTGCCAAGGATAATCTAGAAAACTGCGGAATACTGTGAAGTTCAGTGTGAATGAGTAAATAAGTCCTTAAAGTGTAAGTGTTGTTAACACTGTGTGAACAATCAGGAAAGACAGTGCTGTGAATAAATACCTGAAGTCAGCTAAACATCTCTTGGCACTTCAGTAAGTTCATTGCTGTGTGGGTTGTTCTGAATTATATTTTATAGACACTTCAATAGCTGTGTGAATTTTAACTTGAGAAGCATTTGTCATGAAAAGGGGAACCACTAGTATATCACCTGGGTCCTTTTCTTCTTCTAGACTTTCTTTTCCTTATTTTTCTTCCATTAGACTATTTTTTCCATTTGTTTGTATTCTTACTTCACTTTTTTTCATCTTTCTTTCTCTCCATCTTTACAAGATGCTGAAACAAATCTTAATATGTGCTAATGAGTATTCCTAAGTGCATTTAAAATTTACCTGAGGAGGAGCAGAAAGAGAAAGAGTGAGCTGAGAAGAAGAAAGAGCATACCTCAAAGTTGCTTCCAGGTTGAGCTCATTTCAATGATCAGCAGCAGTAAGTCTTGTGTCTATTGTTGTGGCAGGAAGGAAAGAAGAGGTAGAGTTCCCAGTATGTTTAACAGGCATCCATTCCCAGTGAGCCCTGTCCCTGTTCACAGGCAGACTTCTTTGATCTGTAGCACCTGTTGAGCAGGATTCCCAGTACATCGGCAGGAATTTGCACAAGTTTTGGATAGAAACCTTCCTGGTGATCCAAGTTCATCCAAATGACTGCCTGTGTTTTGACTGAGGCTAGGACCCTCCTCACAAAACATTTTGGTCTCAACAAAACAACCTTAGCCTAAGAGGTATCTGCCACTGAAATCCATATACAGAAGTAATCTGCTCTGTGGGCAGGATGCGATTCCCAAAGACTGTCCTCCCATGAAAAACCAGAGAGAGGGTTTGCCAAAATGTGGGAAGGCATTTAGCCACCTCTCACTCTTCCACAATAGGATAATTTCTAGTTCTGCACATATAAGGATCTAGATCTGCATTTATAATTCCATATTTAGATTTTTTTTCACTGTATCCTGTGTGAGGCCTAAGTAATTTATGTTTGGTTTTTTTGTCACAGCTTTCCTGAACTTGTTACCTGGTTCACAAAGACTGAATAACAAAACACAGATCCTTAGATAGGAATAGGCGTTGAACAGAACACAAACCTCAACACAATGCCTGTTATTTAATCATCATTTTCATTTTCCTGTTTTCACAGCTTCTACCAGCATGTTTTCTACTTGCAGCCTGTTGCCTACCCTGACAAATCAAATAAATAACTGCCAAGACTCTAGTCTTGTGAAGAGTTCCTTCTTCAAAGCTCTTTCCACTGATTTTGCTGTGGAACAGAAGGAAAAGGCAGGGGCAATCCAACCCTGTTTTGAATTTTGTACTGAGTTCCTTCAGAAAGCTGTGTTCTGTTGCTTTGTTTGGGTTGAGTTATATGATTTTTGTATTTATTTTGGTTATAATAGACTCTGTATATGAATAATTCTAGGTTACTTAAAATACTTCCAGCAGAGTACAATATGTTATTCAGATTGTAGAAGAACCTTGAGTTACTGGAATTATTATAGTAACATCATTGATAGATACCATACAGAGCTGAGATTATTTTTCATAATAAATTCTCTCTCTTTCTGTTAGAAAAACTGACCAAGTTTTTTGTTTCTGTGCTGTCTAGGGGCACGGTGTCACATAGCATTTTTGCTAATGTAGCCATTTTAATAGAAAAAGCTTTAACAAGTAGGTGGTGTATGGAAAAGCTGGGGAAATGTTTTCAAATAACCCATGTGTATGAAAAATATTGCTTCAACCACAGCTTCAATACATTTTTCACACAATATTTCAAGATGCTTTCAGAGAGTTCCAAATAATTTACCCCACCTCATGCACAGTCAAAGGATCTTACACGTAGCTTCTTATTTAAGAAGTTGGTGAAGTTTTCTATATTAGTACCTAACAGAATTGCCAAATCAGTTATTTTCTCCTATCCACTTTTACGCTACTGAATGGATTAATTGAAAAATCTTAGTCACCGACCGTGTTTAAACACATGTGCATATCACTGTAGCTAAGACTTGTCAAGGAAGAAAGACTAAAATATCTAAGCAAGCTGAAATTGAAAACACTTGAACAACTGATGCTCTCTGGTTTTCCTAACATAAAATAGAGCCACTTTGATTCTTCTTGGCACGTGATAATGAAGAGGAGCTCTATGCCTTTCATGGAAACAAATCTTCTATCCAGTCAGATACGTCCTAACTCCTAATTATCCATTAAATTGGCCAAAACTTCCATGCAATTATCCAGCTTCTTGGCTAACTCTTAGTGTTTTTTGGTTTTTGTTTCCTCACCAGCACCTTTGTAGTCTTGACTAGATTCTTCCCTCAACTTATTTCCTGAAGACTTTCTTACATTCAGGAAAGATAGTGGTTACAGTTGTTGAGAATGAGAAGAATATTTGACTATCAGAAGCATATAGTTGGCAGCTGAGTGAAACATATGTCACTTTCTCTTTCAACTAATTCACACTACATTTTGAAGAGCACTGCAAGTGCCAGGCTTTTGAGACCTTGGAGAGAAGGAACAGTTACACATTACCTCCTTTTCTATTTCTCCATTGGCTCCCCTATCGGTGGAATTGAACACCAGCATGCTGTCTTCTCTGTTAGTATTCATTTCAGTTTATGTCCTCTGCTAACTCTTCATGTGAATTCACTATCAATCTGATAGTTATGACAAAATCAATCTTAAACTTTTAAAACAAGAAACGCTCTCATGTTGCCCCCTGAGACAGTCACAGAAAATATCTTAAAGCAGCTCTATTAATTAACTCAGAACCTCTCCCAAAAATTGTTTGCCAATATACCCACAGTAAACTAGATGTTTGTTCAGCAGAAATATGTTCATACCTTCTTAGCCTGCTGGGAACTGCTTTCATAAAGAGGTCATGACACAATGGGGTCATGGTCACTGAGTGACATGGTCCTTGTCTAGGCACTATGGTTGCTATATTATAAAAGTAGACAAGCGAGAGACAGTTCAGTTGCCTAAATAATCTAGAGACATCTGTAATGTTAAGTATCTGAGGCGCAAGTATAAGGCTCCAAGGTTGGAGATCCCACAGCTCTCTGTGTGATCTGTTCCTGTGTTTCAACATTTTCATGGTAAAAAATGTGATCTTTATGACAAATTCAAAGAAAAATTTCCTAAATTGCAGCTTGTGACTGGTGTCTCTCATCCCTTCACTCTATGCCCTTGAAGAGATTTTAGCTTCTCCTTCCCTGCACTGTCACATTAAACAAATTTATCTAAGATCCCCTCAAATCTTTTAGTGTCTGAATGGGTCTCAGCCTCTCCTCATACATAATGTGCTTTGGTCTCTTACCATCTTGAAATCCTCCCCTGGCCATGCTCCAATGTGTCCATGTCGTTGTTGTTGTGAGTAGAAATTATACGGACTCCAGATGTGGTCTTCCAAGTGCCAGACAGAGAGAGAGGAAAAAAATCACTTTGCCTGACCTGTTGGCTACACTCAGTGGAGACACACCGCTGGCTCATGTTCAGTTTGTTAACTGAGACCCCTGAAGTTTATTTGTTTGGTTGGTTGTTTTCTATTCTGGCAAAGCTGCTTTCAGACCATTCAACCCCCAGTCTGTGCTGCTCGATAAGGTTAACCTCAGTGCAGGAATCTGCTCTTGCTGCAAGATATCACATTTTATTGATGTAAATTAATTTTTACTACTCTGGAACTACATTTCTTCATGTGGGGAGAGAACCTTATTGCCTCTCCAGTCTGGAAATGAAAGCAGTATCTGCAGTAGTAGATACATAGACAAAAAAATGAAATTGTACAAGCTTCGTAAAATACCAGCTGACTACCTCAGAAAACCAGTCATTTCATTTCCCAGCCTGGTAAACTCATAGATGGGGTTACCTCAAAATAAATGTTTTTATTAGCTAACCAATAGGAAGAAATGCTTTTAGGGTGGCCTATAGACTGTATTTGACTTTCTTTCAATCTCTTTCACAATACTTCCTTGTAAGTTTTTGGTTGCAAAGTAAAGCAGTCAGGAAAGAAGGGGTGATCATAACAAATGCCTAATAAAAAAGCATAAACACACAGAAAGAAGAAAGAACAGAGGCTGCAGAGTTTCAGTGCAAGCATTTGTACCTAGAATTTGGTACAAAGTTGATAACAAATGCTGCCAAATTTAATTGCACTCAGCATCACAAATCTTTGGTCTCTGCAGTTATGAGGCATTTGATCACAGCCAAGATTTTTCCTGCTTTCAATAGGAGAAAGCTATAATGGCTTTGGATGAAAACTGGTGGATCTGCCTTAGAACAGATTTGGTGAGCACAAAGTTTGTATGACATGTCTCTACTTGACATATTACTCACAATAAGGAATAAAAAACTCTCCCTGATGCTACTACAAAGGCATGATCCAATTTTCCATAGAATCATAGAATGGTTTGGGTTGGAAGGGACCTTAAAGATCACCAGTTCCAACCACCCTACCATGGACTGGGGCACTTTCCACTAGACCAGGTTGATCAAGTCAAGAGGTGTTTTGTTCCATAACCCTAAGGGACAAACATTTGTAAATAAAAAGTGCCAACATAGATTAGAAGATACTGGGTATAGATATCTATGCATTGAAAGCCATTAATAAATCTATTAAGAAATTCTTCCCATTTTCCATATTTTTATACCTAATATTATTATTTATTTGTAACTAATTCTATGATTGCAGTTTCTTTGTTGTTTGTCCTGGCTTTTAGCCAAAGTCAAAACCTATTATCAGGATAGGCCCTGAAATGCAGACTTGTGAGTCATGCCTTGTATAACAGAAATTCAGGCTGAAAAAGTTTGTCCAAAATATTTACATAATGCTTAGGAAAAAAATTCAAAATACACAGGAGAGGCCTGTTTAAAAATTCTAGACACAAAAGCAGCCGATGATGTCAATGTAGGTTGCATTCAGGAAAAGGCATTTTCTTTGTTGAAGCATCATATAATGTCACTCAGAATTTGCTGTAATTTTGTTCCTCAGATAATTAATGCTGTAGATCAGCTTCCCCTCGCCAGTGTAATTCCAGTTATGCCTTATTCCAAAATACTGAACTTATACAAGCTCAGTTAAAGGAGTGTTTTTTAAAGCTCATAATTTAGCTTTAACATCTCAGGCATGAGTAAAAGGTCTGACTGAAAGCAGAGGAGGAATACCAGCTTTTAAACAGTTGTTGGCAATTTTTTGTTTTAATTGAGGCAAAAGTTCAAATGGCATGAATCAAAGCACTCATTCTGGGGGAAAACGGCATGATTTAGAAAGTAACAGAAAAAATTGATAGAAACCTTTTGATAGACTGTTTAAACTTCTATTTAGTTTGGGAGTGATGATGAATGGGAAAGCAGTGAAGTGAAGGAAGAAGAAGGGAAGAGTCTAGGTGGTTTGTCTCTAAGTGGTCTGAATTTTAAAGCACTTAGAACTGAGTTACTCCTACTTTAAAAATAAAGGCTTTATTTTCAGTGCTTTCACTTGGATTAGAGAAGATTTACTTAGCTACAGTATTCCCCTGATGGAGCGAATTGAAAACTATTTTAACT